AGCCCGTTCGCGGGATTCGAACCTCGGACCGAACTACCAGTGTTCAGCGACTTTACCGCTCGGCCGCGGTGGGCTCAAATACTGGAAGATGCATGGAAGTTTAACCGTAAGTGTCATCGCTGAATTAAAGAAAATATCTCTATCGAAAATTTCTCTGATAAAGGTTGTAGATACATTAGGATGTTTGATGCAGGAGACATGAAATATGAGCAATGCTCTCGCCAGGACTTGAATACGTGCCTAGTGTGCTAACCGCTACTCCACGAAAGCAGGGAGAAATACTTTATATCTCCTCCATTTAAAGGACGACTGGAGATTAGTGGACCCAGTCGTCAAATCTAGGTGGTCAAGAATCATCATCCATCACCTTTTTAGTTCGTCGTCACTGTAGAGACATTAGAATTTTTTATGCAGAAGACATGAAAAATGAGCAATGACCTCGCCGGGATTCGAACCAGGACCTCTCGAATACGCGCCGAGTGTGCTAACCGTTACACCACGAAGGCATGCTGAAAGCAGGGAGAAAATACCTTATAAGGTTGGTGATGGGAAAACAGATAAGGGACCCTCGGATTCTATCCCTAAAGGTGGATATTAGGCAGATACTGCGATGGAATTTCAATTACTCCCTGTGGGCTTTGTTTCAGTTAGGTAGTCTCATCCAATCCGATTGTAGCGATAATGCAGAAGGAAGGCACTTGAAATCCATCGTTGTGAAAGTCCTCTGAAGAGATTTTTTTTGGTACAGGAATTAGAGTGCGAGTCCCAGATGTTTCGGCGATTGCTTTCAATCAAGAGTGAGGCAGAGGTGAAAAAAAATTGTAATCTTATCGATGAAACTCAAGCCCATAGCCAGTAAAAGGCAAATCTCTCTAATCTGCTCTTGATAATTTATAATGCTGCCTATGTAAGATCCTAAGCAATAACATACTCGAATTAAACAAAAAAATTCTAAAACCAGTGGAAGTGCAGTCATATCTCATTCCACGAATTTCGCGAAGTCCCGAAATAATTAAACAATCTTTTATTGGGTTAATTTTTTGGAGTGGGGATTTGAAAATTGTCTAAATTTTTTTGCTCAGCCTCAAAACTATCGGCTGGCAACGTATCATACGTTCTAGGGTCTCTCCATCTCAGATGCTAAATTCGAATTAATAATTAAACTTTAGTTTACGAATTTCTGCTTTACCAATAATTCTTCGAAATAGGATTCATTCATACGTAATTCTAGTTAACACATTTTTTTTCAATGGCAGATTGTGAACAATTACAAATGCAACCCAGTCCATGAATCTATACAAGGCCAGATGTGGTGGTCTCTTTATTATGGAGGCACCTAATAGGTGGGCCACCATCGCCTTTCCTACATGAAGGGACGAACAGTTACAACCATGCCTTCTCCAGGATTCGAACCCAGGCCCTTCGGCATTGTAATCAGCTTCCCTGACCACTACACCGACTGGGCGGCACACATATTTAACTGTGCTATAAATGATTAGAACAGAAATTGTCTCCATGGTTCTGTCATTTAACCTTCGTATGTCAGAAATTAGAATGATTGTCAAACGAAAAAGGTTGGCGTACATAAGAAATAAACAGCATCTAATATTTAAACGTTTTGATTCCCTCATTAAGAGAATGGCTAATGTTGACCGTAAAGAAATGACTAAACTTGTGAATTCATGATGTTGAATGTTAAATACCTAAAGAGTAACTACTACATGAATGTTTGCTTTCTTGGTGCAATTCTTACGTTTTTCCTACTAATGTCTTTTGTAAAAAGAAGATTAACGTATTATATCAGTAACTGTAAAATCCTGTTTTCCTCAAGAATGGAAACGTCAGAATAAAATAGGTTTCCTATAAATGTTTTTATAAAAATCTGATTTTGATGACGTGTAGTGATGCTTGCTAAATTTTTTAAATGGTTAACGCAAAGGATATATCAGTGATGGGGAATAGGAAAATAAAATTTCTGCAAATAATTTTACGCTTCTTTTAAAAATTTCCAGCTGCTATGAAAAATGCACCTAAAATAATTTAACTTACATTTTATTTGATGGATATATATATAAATTCCCTGCTATATTTATAAGAGATTTTTTGTAGGGGCATTTACATTTGTATGCCATTTTTTTTAGATTGAGAGAAAATTTTATAGAAATATACACCAGGCCGTTACTAAATTGATGGCTAATATTGTTTTTGCTTTTATGAGAAGTTAGGCAGACGGAACGATTTCGATTTAAATGAAGCCGCTGATTCTGATAGCGGCTGGTATAAGTTCTGAATCTTCAGGTTCCGGAAACGTTTTTAAGGAAAGAGAACTATTGTAGAGACAATAGGATTTTTTGGCGCTGGAGACGTGAAAAATGAACAATACCCTCGCCGGAACTCGAACCTGGACCTCTCGAATACGCACCGAGTGTGCTAACCATTGCACCATGAAGGCATGCAGGAGAGAGAAAATACCTCATATACTCCCCCTTTTAAAGGGTGACTGAGGATTAGAAGACCCAATCGCCAAATCCTGACGGTGAAGAATTATCATCCACTACCATTTTAGTTCGGGCGCCACTGTAGAGTCATTAGGTTACTTTGATGCGGAAGACGTGAAAAATGAGCAATGTCCTCGCTGGGAATCGAACCTGAGCCTCTCGAATACGCGCCGAATGTACTAACCATTACACCACGAAGGCATGCTGGAAGGAGGTACAAAATACCTTATATATTTCCCCTTTTAAAGGACGACTGGGGATTAGCGGACCCAGTCGCCAAACCCTGGTGGTGAAGAATCATCATCCACCAACTTTTAGTTCGGGCGCCACTGTAGAATCATTTAACATTTTTTCTATGGCAGGAACCTGAAGAAATGAGCAATGCCCTCGCTGGGACTCGAACCTGGACATCTCGAATACGCGACAAGTGTACTAAGCGTTACACCACGAAAGCATGCTGGAAGGAGCGAGAAAATACCTTATACTATGCCAGCCACTTTGAAAATCGATACGTTTATTTAAAATTAATTTATGCCAACCTAAATTTTCTTCCTTTAAATATATATGATACGTTGACGTATTTCTCTTCCGTATAGTTATTTCTTTGTTTTATCTAAAAATGCATGCATCTTTCTATTGCGTCTATAACGGAAGACAATCGTATAAAAAAATTATTTTTTAAAATTCTTACTGTATTTCCTTCCTGTGCTAATTAAGCACAGCCGGATTTAGATTAGATTGCTACATACTCAGTTAATCTAAAATAAATATCAATAGACTAAATAAATAATTCTGTTGATAACGCAAATCGTGTAATAGTTTAAGAGATATAGTTTAACAAACCGAATACTTTGAATTCCAGGTATTAAACAGAAACTAACTATGGTAAGGCTAATTCCATTTAAAGTAAAAGAGGAAAACGTTATTCACATTTACAGGAATATTTGTAATTTGCCTCACATGTAAGAATGAAAGCAATTTATAATTTTTGGGTTATAATTTTTTAACCCAAAAATTATAAATTGTTTAATAAGTTATTTAATTATCATAAGGCTCAGTATTATCATAAGACATATTTAATTATCATAAGGCTCAGTATTATAATAAGGCATATTATCAGTTACTCAGTTACATTTGCAGAGGAACTTCCAAGGAAAATTAGTTGGTATTGTTATTTGTTAAGGTAAGAAGACTAATCTACCTAAGTAACTAAAAATTTAATTCTCGTGCTAATCTACACCTAGTTTCGCAAACTTAAGCGTATGAAATTCGTTAACGTTAAACTTCGAACTGCGTTTTTGATTTCTTTAAGAGTGGAGTATAAGAGTCACTTGTATTCTTCAATAACGTGAGCTTTTTTTTTTTTCTTTTTTTTTTTTTTTTTTTTTTTTTCTTTCTAAAATTTTTAAATCTAGTCTCAGATAACGTAGCGTCCCATTTACGAATGTCCCAAGCAAATTAGTCAACTATGACAATTATCGTTATTACTTTTACTTCGTTTATTGTACAATTTGTTCATCTACTTTGCTATACATACAAACTAAACGATTGTTATCTTAATATGTAAGTTACTATTATCATTTGGCTTCTTTTTCAATGCACAATATAAAATTGTTATTGCTTTTACAAATTGATTGACTCTCATTCAGCTGCTAACATATATATGAAAAATTATATAGAGAATTTATTTAAATTACATTTTTAACAATTAGAGATCAGATAGATCTACAAAAACATCTGGATATCAAAATCAAACCAACAATTCCATTGTTAGGAAAGTTCCAAATGGTATTTATAAACTCTCATTTTTATCATTGTTATGATTTTATTTCCTACTAGTAATACTTCATATAAACTTCTGTTAACTGACTTTGTAAAGTTCTGAAATGATGCCGAATCTCATTTTGACATGACCTCAGTGTTGAAATTAGCATCGTGCTTAGAAACATTGCTTTCAGATTTCTTATCACTAGTTTTTCCAAACGTCATTTAACTTTCAAATTTCATATGAGAATGTATTAATTCTTCTTCTACTTTTTTTTGCCTCCAGTTACTTAAGTTCCAATTGCATATAAATTTTACGATGCATGCGACTTTTTGAACAAAAAATTCCTTCTTTAGAAGTATATACCCAAACCAAGCATCCTACCCTCTCTATCTTAGCGGAAACAAAAAGAACTGACTTGGGGCACTTTGAAATGCCAAATGTAATCAAGCCATGTCCTATACATGCTGGAGTAAACAATGAGGCAACTTTATTAAAAATGATAATTAAATGCAGTTGTTTTATTAGGAAAATTGCGTATAATTATCATTCAATGAAGTTGAATTTTTTTGCATGGCCCAAGAGGAGTGACGTTTATTTAAACATACTAAATTCGTGATAGCTAAGCTGTAAAAATTTTAGTGATTCAGAAATGGTACAAAGCTTTTTAATACATTATTATATTCATAAAAGTGAAATGCACGCTTATGCTAGATTATCCAATATATTTTTCTTACCTGTGACTATAGTGTACCAGTTGGGGTAAGAATTGGAGGGAAAAACTGGAGTCACATATTCCGCCTTGACTCCGTTGTCTGCCATTCTTTTAAATCCAACATATGAGGAATCATTTAAGTAATCCCAACGCACTCCATCAACCAGCACTAAGATAACTTTCTCCGTATCCATTGGAAAAGAAGGATAACCCATCGATCCAATTATTCCCAGTAACAAAACAAGAACCGCCGAGAGCATCGTACCTACCGTTGTCATCGCTACGACCGAATGAGTGCTCTCTTTCCTCCATCATCCCAAAACCATGCAGTTGGCGAAGCGATTTGGCAACAAGTACGCCGTTTTTGGCTTCTTATTTGATAATACTTTCCTTCTCTGCTTGAATAGTTATTATAAGTTACTAGTGAAAATCTGCTGAATTTTATGGCCAATTCAGGTTTAAAGTTATGTTGTGTGATCTTATATCACATTATTTATTTCTTGATACTACACTTCTACAAAATACAAGACACTTTATAAAGTTAATCGGTTTGTAAGTTAGATTTTTGTCTATTTTCTTAAATAGATTAAACCTGGAAATTGTAACTGTAAGCTGGAAACTTTAGATTAGCCTAGGTCTGCGCGAACTTCAGAGTGAACGGGTCTGCGTGAGATTAATGGATAATTAATAATTGAAGCCAGCTGCTGCCATTACTAAAATTAATTTATAATTTCGTATTAATGTATTTAGTTAAATTCTTTCGAAATGTTTTACCTGTAGCCAAAAACGCATGGGATCAATTATAATTGAATTTTTATCGAAATGTACGACAAACAGCAGTTAGCTGGGTATTAAAAAAACTGTATACATGCTCATCCTTAAGAATTCTATTTTCTGCCCAAGTCATTTTCGACGTTACTTGACTGTAAATTCTTATTTATCACCATAATTTTAACAAACTCTTTCATAGTCATAATTTATCAGATTCAGCTGCATTACATAATGCAATGTGGGATGTTAATCAATTAATATAAGAAAGATCTTTAGGGCCGCCCAACCGTGATAGTGGTTAGCGTCGCTGACTGCCGTACCAAAGGGCCCGGGCTCGAATCCCGGAAAAGACATGGATGTTTGTAGATGTATAGTGTCTGTGCGGCATAGGAGGACTCTAAATATGACACTTACATATACATACACTTTAGTATAAATTATATTTGTCCTTAGATTTCGTGACTTGTGTATATCATCGGGCATTCGACTTTCACTGACAAGCAAGTTGATAGGCAACTTATTTTATACCATCCGTTAAGCCTTTAGAGAAAATGTATTCAAAGTAGCTGGCAAAACAAAACATAGGGTGACCAATGTCATCCCCCCCTTTTTTTTTACTTATTAGGCACTACACGGAACGGGAGGGATGCCCCATGGAGGTCATTTCAAGGGAAACTGACTCATATCCACGTTACACATGAGGAAAACTACAAAAATGCCCATGCAACCAGCCCGTTTGCTGGGACTCGAACCCCGGACCGAACTACCAGTGTTCAGCGACTTTTACTTTTCGACCCCTGTTGGGCGAATGTCACCTCTAGACATCTAAAATTTTTTTCTTAATTAGAGAAATTGATCACCTATGCTTTAAAACATTTTGAAATTAAGATAGTAAAACAAAATAAGAGGATTTCCTTCATTTATAATTATACTTTTATGGTATAGAAATATACAGAAAATAAAATAAAAGCTTTCTATTGTGTAACGTTATTAGCACTTCTGAAATAGTGAAATTAAAATGCATTAATATAATTTTAAAATAAATGCTGTTTTACCGTTATTTTACAAGTATTTCGTTTTAAGCGAGGTAAAATATACAGGGTGTGGAATTTTTCTCAGAAGTTTTAGTAGTATAAGTCATTTATTGGAAATGTAATTGTTTTTGTTAACCCAGAACAGGATATCGAAAACATAACTTGATTTTTACGTGATAATAAGAGTAGCCGACAATTATAATTTTAATTTTTAAGAATGAAAGAAAAAGGTCAAAAAAGAGATAACCGAGTACAGGCATCAGGAAATTCATATTTTCCCCCTCATAAATATAATTAATCATCTCTTTTTTTACCCTTTATTTCCACCCTATATATTTTCGAGTGTTTTAAACAATTTAATTAGTTTACAAGTGTGAAGAATTTAACAGTTTATTTATTTTATTTCTCTGGTGAATGCATTTAAACGATCGATACCATTCCGTACCTTGCTTTGTGTTATTCCTTCCTAATAGCCCACGTGTGAAAGAACAGCTCTTCCGCTTCCAGCACGAAACATGCGAAATCACTTGTGAATTAACTCGAGGGAAAAATAACATAATTACGGAAAATTTCCGCTTTCTTCTTACAATGATATGTGAATTATTAAAATCAAATTATTCTCTGGTGATGTGTGAAAAAAGAATAGGACAAATAGGAATGATTACTGAATTTTTTTCATGTCTCTAGCTTTTAATAAAACGTAATGACTGAACATACAGGTTAATGCACTTGCAAATTTAAGATTATTAATTAAAAAAAGGCTAAAGTAATTTTTGTTCAATTGATGAAATTTATCGGGAATTTTAACAAATGTCTTGCTTAATGTATAAAATACATCCCGTGAAATGAATCGCTCCTCAACGGCTTTCAAAGATCTGTAAAAGAAATTGTCTTTAAAGGTGACATAATACACAGCCTGAATATCTTACGTATGTCTTAAGTACGTCTGATCTTTGAAAAATTGTTATATTTTTTACATGCTTTGTAGTCCATATTTTATTTTTAGGAAGAGTAACATTTTCACTACAGCACAAGTAAAAAAATGCAACAAAGATTTCAAATATATTTTTATTATAAGTAAAATATTATTGTTTTGTTGTAAATATTTGTGATTTAGAAGCCTGGAAACTTAAGCAGCAGAGTAAAAGAAATTTTTACTTCAAAGAATAATAGTTGAAAAACAGATACGCCATAAAATAAAATATTGTGCTAATACTTTTGTGTGTGTGTGTGTGAGAGAGAGAGTATGCTTAATTTTTTTTTAAATATTTACAAATTATTAAAATCAAATTTCAAATGTATTTCAGTTTGCAATTAAAATCTTACCTATATTGTTTGTCAATTGATAAAAGTTTTAATCCAATACAACAAATAATAATATAAGCTTATGGAATATGTAACATTATGGAATGCCTCATGTTGCTCATATAATCACAACAGCTGTTTTAGCCCAAAAAGTGCTTTTGAATCATATTACGGTGTATATATATATATATATATATATATATATATATATATATATATATATGTAAATCAAAATTATAACTCATATTAGAAATAGCTACGTAATTCTTCATTTTAATTTGGATGTTACCCCTCTCTATTCCAAAAACTAACACTAGCTTAATAACTATTTCTGGACTGCGTCATTTCTAGATCTATCCATATCATATGACTTTTACATAACGACCATGACTTGAAGATTTGAAAATAGGAATATTTTAGGATCCGTGAGAGAGAAGGCTTAATTTCTGTGTTTAAATTCTGCATCTGCGACTGGATACGAGCTACCGCAATGGAGGAGGATTGCATAAGCAAGCATGAAAGAGACTAATTTGGAAAGATACAGTCCAGAAAAATAAAACGCTTTTTTTTAAAAAAATGGAAATTAGTTATGTTATAAAATTATGAAATTTACTATGATTATTCAACATAAGTAATGGATATATAAAATTATTATATTTGAGATATTTTGGGAAAGATTTGAGAAGCTTTTCCTGAACAAATAGGATCATGTGGATTCTAAAACACTAAGACATTTGAACTGAAAATTTTAATAGGATTACAAATTTTTCAAAGTTTATATTCTGCAATAATTTAAATAATTATTTTGGTCAAATGTTTAGGATTTATATTTTTAAAATTAGGTTTCTCTTCATTTGCTAATACTTTAGTGCATAATCTCTAAAGAGATAAAGTTGAGCCCTTTCCTCTTTGAAGAGGGGGAATATGCAAGATAAAAAAATATGTAAATCAAAATTAGCAGCAGCCCTTTATTCTTCATTTTAATTTAGGTGTTTTCTCTCTCTGATCTAAGTATAGCAAGTGCTTAATAACTGCATAATTTCTAAATTAATGCATATCATATGTGTTTTACATAACAATTTGGAACTTAAAATTTCCAGAACCGATACCTTTTCCTTCATAAGCTTCCATATTGGATAACTATGCACTTACATTCTGCATCTTCTTGTGCTTCCTGCTTCTCCTCTTATAATCTAGGTTTGCTGTCACAGATGTAAATGTTTCGAAATAGGCAAGACTAGAATGCCAAGCAAATTGTGGCCACAAATGGCAATTGAAATATTTAATCTGCCTCGGTTGCCAGGTTTGCTGTTTGCACGCAAAGTTTAACAGGTTAGGACATTTTGAACACACTTACAATAACATAACATTACTTAACAATGCTTAGTTCTGCTACTGGACATTTTTAACCTTATCGTAGACTTTTTCCAAAAACTGTAAGTTTTTGCCTCTCCAGGCCAGCTTTGAATTCTACAAAGAACACAGTTTGGTCGTCTGAAGAATTCAGTACGTTTTCGTTTAGAAGGTCGTCCTAAGATTTCATTAAGTTTGCGCTTTTTTTTTTAATAGGCTTTTCAGTTTTTAGCTGATTCAAGCTCACATTTGATTTTATTATTTAAAGAAATCTATGTGAAAAATTTTTCGTTTTCTTGGTATTAAAAGTTTAGTTTAGCATAATCTAGGACCACCCAATTTTCTAGTGTTGTTTAAATGACAATTTGGATTAAAGTATATTTGTTTTGCTCCTTATTTGTATTTGCTTTTGAATTTCGCATTTGCATATAATGATTTTAGACCAATTTGGTTTTTATGAATGGTCATTGTATATAATGTAAAGTTTTTATGGTTTTTTGAGTAGTCAGTTTGGCACACGTTTTGTTTTATTCTTTTTTCCAAGTGTTTCGAAGGAGTGTAGGAAAAATTCTGGTATATTTGAGATTCGATTTTTCGGTTTTATATGAATTTTTTCCCCTTGATGAGTTGGAGTTTCAGTAAAAAAGGAGATTAATTTTTATACTTTTATTATCTTGTATATTTTTTCCCGTTTGCATTTTTATTTTTCGAGTTTGTACTACTACGAATTCTTTTTTAAATTTTGATTTGTTTATATATTGTGTTCAACCTCTTATACAGGGTCAAAATTATTAATATTGTTGTAGAATTAACTTGCTTTGACTCCAATT